AACATGGAGAGTCCAGCAGGAGAACCGGACTTGGAGTCTACTCTTCAGGCATCAGGATGGCAGACACACCACTCCAGGAACCGGAGAACCCCAGGATGTGAGCTGATGTCGGACGTAAAGACATTAATTGACTCGCTTGATCGGCATGAAAGAGCAAAGGAATGAACAGGTATGTGTGGAGGGAGTTAACTCCTTGCAGACGTACATGGAAAACAATAACAACACATAAATGACTGAGCCACTCGGAATCTTTTCCAGATTTGACAACACAGAGTATAACATGTACAATTTTGATTATGATATCGATTCAGAGAATCATGTGTTTAATCATATAAGTGACTCGTGTAAATATTTTACCGATGATCAATTTAAAGACAATGTTGGACTTGAAAATACATTTTCTTTAATACATTTCAACTGCAGGAGTCTGTATGCAAACTTTAATAAGATCACTGAATACCTACATACATTTAAAAGTAAATTCAAAGTAATTGCCATATCGGAGACTTGGCTAAATAAAGTCACATATATAAGTCACTGATTTCCAAATTGAGGGTTACGTGATACACCATATCAACAGAACCAATAAGAGAGGAGGGGGTGTGGCTCTTTATGTGGACAGCATCCTAAAATGCACACTGGTTGAAAAAATTTCAATTGTGACTGATGATTTAATGGAATGCATAACTATAGAAATTGAAATGGAAAGGAAGAGAAATGTTGTTGTGACTTGTGCATATAGAGCACCAGGATCAAATGTAGAGCTTTTTAAAGATAGTTTAGGAGTATTAATGGATGGCCTAAATGAAAATAAAACATGTATTATTTGTGGGGATTTTAACATCGATCTTCTAAATGTATCTAAACAAAACAAAACAACTTCTGATTTCCTGGATGCATTGTACAGCAGGGGGCTTTATCCCCTAATCACTAAGCCCAGTAGAATAACATCAACTTGTGCAACATTGATCGACAATATCTTTACAAATGTCATGGAAAACAGTGCTAAGAGTGGGCTAATAATAAATGACATAAGCGACCATTTACCTGTATTTGTAGCATATGATTGGCAATTAAAGAAAAAGAAGGAAGAGACTCGCAGTAGATATGTCAGGGTAAGGACTGCTGAAGCAAAAGACACATTTAGGAGTGACCTCTTAAAGGAAGAGTGGAGAGGGGTTTATGTAGAAGATGTAAATGCTGCATATGAGTCCTTCCTAACAATCTACATATCACTGTATGACAAACATTGTCCCACTGTACTCCGTACATCAAATAAGTTGACAGTTATAATGAGACAAGCAAAAAGAGAATATTATAATAATATGTTAAAAGAAAAGAAAAATGATATCAAGGGCACATGGAAAATCTTAAATAATGTTATTGGAAATAAATCTGTATCCACTGGCCTGCCCAGTCACTTCATTGATGACAAAAATAAGGTTGTAAAAAACATGAATGAAGTGGTACATGAATTCAACTCTTTTTTTGTAAATGTCGGTCCTAATCTTGCAAAGACTATTCCAAAACAACACGATGGGCAAAAAGAGGATTGGCGGAAGTAAAGTGTTGCAGTCAATGTTTCTGGGAGAGATAAACGAAATTGAAATTAGATCCATTGTAGACAAATGCAAAAATAAGACTTCGACAGATAGTGATGGGATCGACATGACAATAGTGAAAACGACTATTGACTGCATAATTAAACCGCTAAGCTACATTTTTAATCTTTCATTTCAGACAGGTATTTTCCCAGATAGCATGAAAATAGCTAAAGTTATCCCACTTTTTAAAACAGGGGACAAAAGCCAATTTACCAACTACAGACCAGTGTCCTTGCTTTCACAATTTTCAAAGGTCCTTGAGAAATTGTTTGTCCAAAAATTTGATAATTTTATTGAAAAAAATGAGTTATTGAGTGAGAGTCAGTATGGATTTAGGAAAAATCGATCTACAGCTTTAGCTTTAATGAAAATAACAGAAGAAATTACAACAGCTATAGAAAGAAAGAAATACACAATAGGTGTATTTATTGACTTAAAAAAGGCATTTGACACCATAGACCATTACCTATTAATTTCGAAATTACATAGATACGGAGTGAGAGGAGTAGTTCTAGATTGGTTAAAAAGTTATTTAGATAACAGACAACAATATGTAGAATTTGCTGGTAGTACATCGGAGTGTATGAACATAGAATGTGGTGTCCCGCAGGGCTCGGTTTTAGGGCCTAAACTTTTTATTTTGTACATCAATGACATATGTGAAACGTCAACATTATTGCAATTTGTGTTGTTTGCAGACGACACAAATGTATTTTGTTCAGGAGATGACTTAAACATTTTAGCAAAGTTTATTGGACATGAAATGGTCAAACTTAAAAGATGGTTTGATGAAAATAAGTTAACCCTAAATTTGAATAAAACGAAGTTTATGGTTTTTGCTAATAGAAAAAAAGATGAAAACATTTCACTGTCCATTGATGGAGTTTTTATTGAAAGGGTTTCTGAATTTCGATTCTTAGGTGTGACGCTGGATGAAAACCTGACATGGAAATCACACATAGCACATGTTAAAACGAAAGTGTCTAAGAATATTTCTGTTCTAAACAAGGCAAAGTATTTGCTAGATTACAAGGCATTGAGGATGTTGTACTGTTCACTCATTTTGCCATTTTTCATTTATTGTATAGAAGTGTGGGGCAACACGTATATGAGCAATATAAAGCCATTGTCAATATTACAGAAAAGGGCAGTAAGAATAATTCATAAAGCTGACTCAAGAGAACACACCAGACTGTTTTTAAGTCAGGACTCTTGAAACTCAAAGACAGCTGAGCTGCAGACATTATCAGTAATGCACAGGGCAACAAGCAGAATGTTACCAGCATATTTACAACAGTTGTTTGTTTTTGGATCAGACAAGGAAGACCACAGAAGGAAATTACATTTTAAGCATCCATATGCAAGGACTACTCTTAAACAAATGTGTATTTCGGTAGTTGGTGTACAATTGTGGAATTCTCAACACAAGGATCTAAAGAATTGTATATGCATTTTTCAGTTAAAGAAGTTGTATAAATTAAGAAAGATGGGACTATATGAAGCAGGATGTGAATAAATCGATGTACTCTGGTCCTTCATGTTTTTGATGTCTTTGATGTGATGTCTCCTCTGTATTTGCGGGTCCCATTGCCATTGTTATTGTTGTTATTGTTATTATCATCATGTGTCGCTTTCCACCTTCTTCTCCAGTAGGACTCAGATGAGGGTGTTGCACTTTTCTTTTCCTTATACATGTGATGTTTTGGTGTTGTTTTGTTTCTTTCCGTTAACCGTCAAGTGGGAAATAAGTATTTTTTTTGTGTGTTTCTCTTAGTATCCTAAGATACTGTTATGTTTGGCTGTGAAAAAAAAATTATTATTATGAAGGGCAGACCATCTATTTGTATTTATTTGTTTTTTTTTAGAAAGGGGCAGGTCACATAAGATTTTATTCTTCTCCCTGCTCCTTTTCGCTCAATGGTAGAGTCATGTTTTGTGGCAATTATTGTACATTTGGTTTTGCGTACCATGACAAATAAAAATGAAATGAAATGAAATGAAAATGATGGATTATCAATAATTTTTTCAAAGTGACAGACACATTGCTATAACCTATGGATTAACCTTCAGCCGCTTTTTTCTCGTTTTAATGACATTGAACACAACTTTTGATCAGGATAACAGCTAAGGTGAGCATATCTCCGTGTTTTGCTACCTAAAGCTACTCGTGTGTTGTCTGTATTTGCTTCCCCTGTCACGAGTTCTGATCGCTCAGTGATGGTCCTTATATATTTCTATAATCTGTGGAATCTCAGGATGTTATCTAAGCTTATTTGTGCAGATCCAATACGTTTATCGATCGGTATAGCTAGAGTTCTGTGCTAACGGCCTAAATATTTTTTTGCCCGTGGCTAATTCAGAGGCTCAGCGTTAGCTTTGAGGTTTTTTAAAAAGAAAAAGAAAAAAGATCAGTTAGCTGAGTTTCTTCCTGTTACATGGATATGAAACATTCATAGTTTATTAAATCTTAAGAAGCCCTCAGACATTTTTGTTTGCAGATGTTGTGAATTCTGCCCCTTCGGCGGGTCCGTGGGGCTTAAGCTTAAATCGAAGGGCAGTATAACGGCCCGTCTACACTACAGGCGTCAAAAAATGCTTTCAACGCTTCGCCCATTCATTTGAATGGGGTGACGTAGGATATTTTCAAACTTCGCCGAACTGCATTGTGGGTAGCATGGCAAGGCGTTGCAAGCATCGCGAGCGTCTATCGGCGTCAAAAGTTGAACAATGTTCAACTTTTGAGGCTCGATGCTTGCTCGAAGCTGGCGTCAGCCAATCAAATCCCGTTTTTGCAATTCCCGCCAGTACAAGCGCTAGCCAATCAAACCGCGTGCAAGCTGGGAGAGCCAGACCGCAGTTAATTTCCTCATATTCCAAACGAGAAATTACGGTAGCAAATCACCCGGTTCTTTCCGACCAGAACTATTAACGGGATACAAACCGGAGGAACCAGGCATGGAGGGAGGTGGCAGAGACAGTGGGTGTTTGGGGAGTTTATATCCAGTTTACTTCGTTTTAACATTGCTCTTGCTTTGTATGTCGGGGGCGGGAGATTCATGTGATTGGTTGTTGGTCGCGTTGCTCGCAAAAAATTGCCAAGCTTCAGACACGCCCAGCTTCAAGATGTTTTGATGCCTGTAGTGTAGACGGGCCGTGAGTGTGACTCATGTCAGAATAAACCACAGAACACATTTTACAGGTTGATGGTGTGTGTGTGTGTGTGTGTGTGTGTGTGTGTGTGTGTGTGTGTGTGTGTGTGTGTGTGTGTGTGTGTGTGTGTGTGTGTGTGTGTGTGTGTATTTTATGGGTAACCTTCTGTAGCTGTGTTTAAATTGGTAACAGTGTACAGGGCAAAATGGCTTATTTGAATGTTACTGTGTCCTCCAGGCTCCTTACCCTGCATCCCCGTGGGGCCGAAGCCTTGGCGAGTGAGGAAAATTGCGTGGTCGTGGTGCTCGGCGTGATCAAGGTCACCTTTCTGCTGCACAAAGGCCCAGCGGCACACATTCTCCAGGCTCCGCGATGGGTTTCCTCTTTCAATGAGGCTGATGGACTGACAGGAAAGAGCGAGAAAGAGATTGAAATGCTTACCGATTAACCTTGTAGCCGTGTAAATGAACATGTTAGTATTCTGGCAGCAGCACAAAACTGTATAGATTGATAATCCGATCGGGAAAGCATAGCATTCAATGTAAACATATTTTAGATGTGGGCTCTGGGGTGATAATGAAAGTGGAAAGCAAAAGGTAATTTGCTCTCATCCGCCATATGGTAAAATGGCCAGTTGATCATAAATAATGTATTTTTAGAGAATGTGTAAAAGAAAGCCGACAGTATTCTTCACTATTTATAATCTATGCTACAATAATAATGGCTTTGGCTATGTCACTAGAAATAACCACCTCTCTGAGGCAATTATACAAAATAGATATCAGAGCGAGAACAAAAAGCATCCATGCTCACAAAACTATGAAAACATTTTTTTTGTAATTGGTATCACTGTGATGTTGCACAGGACAGCAGATTATTAATAGCAGACCAGAGGCTCTAGAGCACTACATCATTGAGAATAGTTAACAGTCTAAAATATAGTCTAAAAAATAGACAATTCATGACTTTTGCCAAAGTTTTGTTTTTGTTTTTGTTCTCCTGGGATGAAACATTGGCCTTTAATCCCACTGAGGCACTGTGTGCTTTTCTTTTGCTTACTGTTTGCTCTAACAGCCAGAGATGATGGGTTGATGCTTCACCTCTGGCTCAAAGCTTTTGTTTCCTCGCAGAAAACACAACACATTGTTGTGGACAGAGTGTGGGGAGCTAGGATGGGGAATTTTGCTGACCTGTAGCAACAACTTCTACAAATGAATCTTGAACTTGTTGGCCAACGTTTAGGGTGATTTGTGCAACAACAAAAAATCCATATCTATATGTTTATTCTCATAACTGGTCTAAAAAAGATCAATCAAGTTAATTGACAACAATGGGATCATTTTCATCAATTGACTATGTATTTATTAGTTATGTAGCAGACAAGAGACATGTGTGTGTCTGTCCTTTACCACGCTGTAAACCAAGAGTCCAATGGAGGCGTTTGCATGGGGGAGAGCGTGTGGGAGAGAAACTCCCTCTTGAGGGAACTTTGGGATTTTAGCATTTACACACCCTTTATATGCACAAAAACATATATCACACTGCAGGGAAGGTAAAAACCCATCAGGCATAATTTCTCTTTAAGAAAACACCTGGGTGTATTGAAGTCATTGTGTGTTATGCAGTACTGCACTTAAACTACAATACTTTTGAGGCCTATTAATCTCAGAAAGGATAGATGGAACTACTACACTCAAACTAATTTGAAGTGTGGTGGCTCTTTACTGCATAGTGAGAGCAGAATACCTTTGGCTGTACAAATACAAATATTGTGATGACAGTTTCTTTTTTAAAACAATCACAGGGTGGAATGATAAACAAATCTCAGAAGTTGCAGCCCTGTTAGGAAGACTGAGACTACAGCTTCTGTGTGATGTGATCAAACTCAATGCAGTGAGGAACATGTTTTGTCTCTGAGCTACAGTAACACTTCTCTCGCATACAAATCATATTGCCCTCACCATGCTTTACATTCTTGGTGCAAATCAACATAAACGGAGTGTGAGCCTCACCTTGGCGTACCCCAGCATGATCATCCTCACCAGCACCACGTTGATGTGGACTCCCAGCGACTCGTCGTGGTAAATCTCATTCACCTGAGAAGTAGGGCGGGGAAACACAATCATCGAGAAGCTCACACAAATAGCATCACCTTAACGGCATGTGCATCATTGGCCCTGAACACCTCATATACGGCAAGGCAAGGCAAGTTTATTTATATAGCACCTTTCAACACAAGGCAATTCAAAGTGCTTTACAAAAAACGAAAGACATTAAGAAAATGGCATTTAAAATCAGACATTAAAAAGAAAAGATACATGAATAAAAGTTACAGTGCAGTGCATATAAGCCCATTGTTGGCTTCTACTTTCCACTCAGCAGGGGAGAGAAACACCATTCTTCATGAATCACAGCATGGATGCATGTATCACACACTTAAGCAACCGCAATTGTACAGCCTTTTTCAAAGAGCTGGCGAATGCAGCGAGGAGGAAGGTCCTGTCCTTTTGTGCTTGCTCCTCACAAAATATGATTGCCATACCAGTAAAAGGGGAAAAGACTCAAATGAATACCAAATAAAAATGCCATTTGTACAGTACATCATTTACTCGCAGAGTTTTACCTTGAATACTTTGTTTTCTATTGCATTCCTCCAAGGTGAAGGGAGAAAAACATAACATATCCTTGATTCATTTAATGATATGGAGGCTCTGTTTAACAATATCGATCAAAACATTAACAAACTCTGACACAGCTCATGCAGTTTAATCATTTAGGTATTACGTTTTTATAGTTTTTGATTAAACCCTACTATTTACAACTCCACTAAGGTCTCATGCTTCCTTCGACCTCCATTTGCTTTTACCCATTTCATGGTTCTCCTTTCGACATAGAGAAATGCTGGAACAATTACATTTTATTTAAGAATTCAATGTAACACAAGGTATACTATTCATTCACATAGCATCTACACAAAAAGAATGGAGTTGGACTGGTATAAATCATCTGCTTCTGAATGTGGCTAAGACCAGAGAGTTGGTTAATGGCTTCAGTCAGGAGGAAGAGGACGTCTCAACAGCCCCTGTGCATTATGGGAGAGGACGTGGCGGTTGTGGGGGACTACAAGGACCTGGGAGTGTACGGAGGATCGACACTGACGCTGTGAACAAGAAGGGGATGATCAGACTCTATTTTCTGAGGAAGCTGAGAACCTTCAACATGTGCAGCAAGATGATGGAGATCTCTGCACTCTTCTTTGTTGTGGTCTGCTTTGGGGGGGGGGGCAGCATCAGAGCCAGTGACACCAGAAGACTCAAAAGACTCATTAGGAACGATATCTATTTTAATATGCCCTTCAATAGTGTTTTATTTGTCAGATAGTCTACATATTTGGTCTCACTCTTCTGTTGTATCTTCTATTTGAGATCTAATGTTTATATTATTATATATTTACATTGTATAATTGTTTTGTTCTACACTTTCTTATTTCTTATTATATACAATACTTTGTTTTACATGCTGCTGCAACCAAAACATGTCCCAATTTGGGATCAATAAAGTATATATGTATCTTAAATGTTAACAACAAAGGAAGATGTGTTATGGGGATGTCTTTGTCCATATGTGAGAGTAGGACTGAATCATATATAATGTGCCTTTTAAACGACATAAAACTATAAGATTAAAGGAACAGAAAGAAGCAGGTTTAGTATTCAGACTGCTATAGCTCCCTGTAGACTCAGAAGTAAAGACAACATGGTGAGTGAGAGCAAAGGCTTCTCCACTGACTGAAGTTTATCATGATCTTAAATCTGAGGGACAAGGCAACGTGCGCTTTTTATCAAGCTGTGCCTCGTTTTTAGACATTCGTTATGCTGTATATATTACTCGTATTTTATTATCTTCCACTGTCATGTGTTCTGTTAATCAGTGGGATCAAATTTCCCCCTCAGTGACAGGCGTCACTCACTGTATCCTTTGGTCTCTCAGAGATATTAAATACACTGATGGATTTTCTGTTTACATGACTTCCCCTCCATGTCTCCTAATTTATTTTTGCTTTTCAATTACACATGTATGAGAGCTTCACGCCTGACAATATCCACACGTCTTATGATTAAACATCAATGATGGGAATACTAGTTGATTGATTGCACAACATTACATTTAGTTTTTATTTCACTGGCATCAGGAGATAAATTGCAATTAGTGTAATGTTATCAAGTGTACACCAGAATGATTTTTCAACATTTCAGTATTTTACGTGTGCAGCTGAAAGAATATTATCAGTTTTTTCAAAGTTTTTAGGGATTAAACATATCATAAATATGTTCATTATAAGTGATTATAGATTGGACAACAGTTTTATATGTTGTATCAGGAAATGTAACTTTTGATAAATTGTGATTAATTAGTTAATAAGAAGGGTGTCAAGTTTAGTTACAAAGACTTAAACAGAGTGTGTATTTGCTTTCTTTCCAAGTTAAAAAAGCTTGATATGGCATGTAACTCCTTCTTAGTTGGGGAGCTGTAATGATCTTTTTTACAGAAATAATACGAGATATTGTGACAATTGTGAAATGCAAATGATTGCTTTAATAAAGCAGCACATTGACACCACTCTTAGTGTATTTACAGAAACACAATCATTACAAGCCAAAACATTTTATAGCCTGGATTGCAGTGGATTTGTATTAGAAGATCTTTGCTGAAACCTTAAATTACATTTTATTGTTATGTGTTTGTCAAATGGCAACTGGAAACAAGACCATTATGAATTGTATTGACGGCTGACCTTTAACAGGCCAGCGTGATGTGTTTGTGGTCTCACATCACCTTGTACTGTATGTATGGCTGTTGTTCCTCCACTTATGGCGCGTTTCCACTGCAGCGGGGTAGCCCCGTTTAAGCGTCCCTAAGCGTCCTCGCTCTGGCCTCGGGCTGCCTCGCTGGCCGGCCCAGGCCGTGGCGCATTTCCATTACAGTTTAGGACCTGGGGTAGCAACGCAGTGTAGGCGGGGCGATCGGCTTTGTTTTTGTTCACATTTCTCATTGTTCCGTCGAGCTCCCGCTGGATTTGATCATCCCCAATGAGATGAAGGAACGTCGTCACCTCCTCGGTCGACCACGGTGTGCTTTTCTTAGAAGTAGCCATTTTTGTAGCTCCTCCGTTTACAAAATGCTGTGTATAAAAATGCTGCAAGCTTGCTTCTAGATATATATGCGACGCTAGGGATGAACTCGCGCGCAATCTTGTGACGATTCTCTCTGACCAATCAGCAGTCGAGAGTGTTGACGTCACTAGTTCAGCCCTGGCCCTGGTCTGATAGAACCACGATTTTATGGGGCCGGAAAAAGAGGGGAAAAGTACCCGCTGGCCGGTACTAGGCTATATGGAAACGCCACCAAAAACCGGCCTGGCCGCTTGAGGACGGTTAAGGACGCTTAAACGGGGCTACCCGCTGCAGTGGAAACGCGCCATTAGTGAGCACCAGTTGAATCAGTCATCAAATGAACGTCTCTCTGACAATGTTCGGCAACCAGAAGCTTTAAAACTGTCAAGTCAAAGCCAGCATCACCCTCTCTCCTCAGACCCTTAAATTGAATAAGAGAAAACTCTTGTAAAAAAACTGGAAAGAGAATGGAAGAAACATACGGCAGAGAGGAATGATTCTTCTCAGACAGACATGCAGTAGATGTTGTGTGTACTGAATAAACATAGACTTTTATATATATAGATTGATGACGCATCTTCTCCTTCTTCTACTGCACAAAGGTGACATCTAAATATCCTGCACGAAGAACCAGATTGACATCATGTACAGAGGGTTGTTGCCAATGGAAAGCCAAGTCAGGCCAAGCTGCTACGTTAGCCTCACAGCAGCTGTTTGGCCAGAAAGACATAACAACTGAGCATAATATTTAAATAAATAAATAATTGATTAAATTGTCACATGCTCTATTTTGTTTTCTTTTATATTGTTTTGCTCAAAATACCAACCCATTGTAGCCATGCCTCATACCCCTCTATGTCAGCCGTGTAACAAAAGTGACACGTTCTTTCTTCAGTGTTTAACGCTAGAACAGTGCCATTATATGTATTATATATATAACAACTTTACTCTAAACTGACTTTGAACATGTATCAGTGGGATAACAACTGTCTAGAATGATAGAAACCATATTTTGCTTGATCGCACAGTTTTTGGAAGAGGGCGGGGTCTATGATCGACACTGCAGCCAGCCAACAGGAGCAATGGAGATGTTTTGGCGTCACTTTTGACAATACCGACAAATAGTCAAATGACTGTGCAGACAATCCAAATGACAATAATGATAACAAGAATTAAAGCTTTAATGAAGACAATGAATCGGGCAGGATGTCAAGCAGCTTCTATATGCCGCTAAATAGAACCTGAGCAACACGACCTCCTCTCAACATGCAGTCTGAGTGAGGACAGGCGGCACAAACACTCCGTAAGAATAAAGAGACAGGCGGCCTCAAATGGCTTTCATTGTCTTTGGGCCAGTGATTTGTCACTGAGTTTATCTGCCTCATTACACATTTATTTCAGCAACATATAATCACGTTCTCAATTGTCCTCAGAGTCCTATTCTCGCCTTATCGACTTCTGGAGGAGCAGGGCGACATACTCCAGGTCTAGAAGATTCTGCTCGCTGTTTTAGTCTGTATAAAGCAACCAGCAGGCTCAGTGTGACCCCAACTACAGAGGGGTTATTTGTTTCGCAAAAAACACAATAAATGCTGCTGATCCTGAACTCACATCCAGTCGAGAGTACCGTTATGAGCTAAACCGCAAGCTAAAATTACACGGTGTGTTCTCCCACACACTGATCTGCTCGCTTCCAAAAGGTCGGTCAAAAGGGTGCTCTCGACATCACACCAACCTCCCAACAGCTACAACCAAACGTTAACACGATACGACTCACTTCCTCTCCCTCCTCCCTCTCCGTTCACCCGGCTCACAGACACTGTTATGAGTGTTACATTTCCCAGTGCATCTCTTTAGAGGAAAGCTGGAGACTGGTAGGTTAACTGATCAATACCACTGACTTGATCTATTTTTCAGATGAA